TGTGAGGGCGCCCGCGGGGCCGGGACGGGGGCGAAATCCGCTCATTAAAGCCTGGGCGGTGCGGGGTAACCCCAGGTGCCGCACGGCTTTTTGTCTAAACAAGGCGGTTAAGCCACTGGAGAAGCAATAAAACGACATATATGCATATATATAATCGTTTAATTTAATTGCTGTATTAAACCTGGAAAAGTAGTGGTAGATTTTTTATTATTGTTTTTTAGTCACTCTCTCCCCTCGCTGACTCCTGGCGCCCAGCGCCCGTCCCGGTCGGGAGCTGCCGCCGCCCGGGACGTCCCGCCCGCGGCCCGTTCCGCTGAACCCAAACCCCGCGACACCAAACGGCGGTGGTGGCCATCGAGCCCAGCACCGGCTTCCCTGGCCTTTGCGAAACGCTCCGTCCCAACTCCGGCGCTCACTCCTTTTAGCCGTCTCTCTTCCCGATGGGGTGAGGGAGGGAGGAAATTATTTTTAATGTGTATTTTGCGGGAGGACATAAGCAACCACGACTGCTCTTTCTCCTCCTCCTCCTACCCCCTCACTCTCCTCTCGCTCTGTGCCCATCGGGCACGGCCAAAAGGGGCAGCTCAAGCACCTGCCCGGGGGGTCCCCCCAACCTCGACGGACGTGGGGGGAGCCCAAAAGCTGCGTCTCGGCCGCAGCGCGGCGGGGGCTCGAAGCCACTTTGTTCCCCCCGCGCCGGAGCCCCAGCACTTTCCGAGCCACTGGGAAAGTTTTATCCCTCTCCTCTCCATAAAGGAAAGACCAATTGGAGCCCTGGAAATCGCACAGCCCATAAATATGATAGACCCTGGCAAGAGGAACTCGCCCTGCTTAAAAAGCTAAGGCGAAAAAAAAAAAGTCAGCAAGGAGAGAGGAGGACCTACAGGAACATGGACTTTTCTCTGCTTTCTTTTTAATTTCTTTTATTATTATTATTTTTTAATTTTCATCTGAAGTGTTCGTGGGGATTCGTTTGGGAAACGGAGTCGAACGTGTGTTGACCGCGCGGGGAAAATGGTCGGGATATTTACATGAACAAAACTTTCCACCTACTGCTTTTGGCGAAACAAGTGCTAGCAATATTCCAGAGTAGTAAAACACATTTCCAGAGTGCAATTCTCATTAGGAACGTGGTCACTCCGTGTAGATTTGCCGTAGTTTAGCAAACGTTGCCCTCACATCTGAGCGTGAGGGTATTTTTTTATTATTATTTATTTAGCTTTTCAAGAGCCCAGCAATGCACAAAATCCCGATTTTGGGAAGCCCTCTATTTGCCCCCAGTTTCCCTCTGCTCTCTCTCCTGCCTCCAAACGGATATTTTAAACAAAATAAGAGCTAGCAGCTCGGCTCCGCTGGCTTATGCTCGCATTAGCTACTTGAGGAGACCTCGGCGGGGAATAAAGGCGAGCAGAAAAGCTAACACTAAAACAAGCAACAAGTTAATTCGGCAAGAACTTACTTTCCTTGCCTCATTTGAAACAAAATGCCATTTGGGCAGGATTATCAGATTTATGCCCAAAGTGGCACGATATTTGTGACACTGCTACACATAACGTGTCCCCCAACCCCCCTTAATAAATATCTATTTTGTCCAAACGAACGCCTTTGGAAAATGGATCTAGAAACGATATTGTCACGGAGGTAGGGAAAATAAAGTGGAAGTTTACTGTGTTTAGGACTCATTTACTTTTAGTGGGGCATGATTAGGTATCCACTAATATAACCGTGGAGACCATGCCTAATTAGCGTTTGCAAATGAAAATGTTAAACATAAAGACATGTTCCGTATACAGGACGCTGTATGTAAAACATATTCCTGCATAATACGGCAGTGGGCTGAAAATGTTGACTGGCTTCCAGATATGCAGCATTCTTGGCTGACGTGATTCGCTCTTTGCTTTTCAGGCTTGCCCATACTGTAGTTCATAGTTCTTATGACCATGTTGATAGCTGCGCTAGGAATATTACACTAACCAATCTGGAGAACAGAGGAAAATATACATATGACTTTTAAAAGCTTGCAATAATAACGATGAACATAATAGGCAGGCTGATCATTTATCCATACCTTTTATTACGAAGGCTTCGCTCTCAACCTTATTTATTGTTTTGAGCATAACAAAGCATTTCAGGCTCCATAATAAATTCGCACAATAATGCAGAGCTGCGCATGCAAAGCAAGAGAGGCTTCAAATAGAGGTCTTTTCTTTCCCAGCTGCATAATTCCGATATTACCCAACGTGGTGTGCTTAGGGTTCACCTCACACGCACCGTAATGAAAGTTGCCAAATGAATGGAACGATCTATCTGTTGACTTGAGCTCGACGTAGGCACATTGCATGTGATAGAAACCTAACGTTCCCGCCGACGTGAAAATCATGGGGATATGTAGTTGCAGTCCAGCTCCTTGAGCATGTAGATTTTTATTTATAAGAGTAATGTGCATGTGGCAACATAAAAAGGGGGATTTACAAGTTAGAGTCTTTTTTAAAGACTGCGAAAACCTTAGCCCCGCTTTTATTAGACATGATATCATTCTGATTTGCGTGCTTGCCATCTCAATAGCATTTCACATGTGAAAAAAAAAAAGGAATCCATATGCATTACATAGATTTTCTTTTATGCGCATAAGGGCTGGCAGTCTCTTAGTGGATAAGAGGGTGAATAATTGTGGTACACCAGAAAACAGTTCGTGCAGTTTGGCAGCTCTGTTTTTTTATATTATTATTAGATTTTTTGACATTTGAACTTGCCTATTGTCTGAGGAGCTCGGTGCAGATTGCAGCAGGTCAACCTTAAGGCTGCTCTTTTTGGCATTGCACACAAACACACGCATGCTGCCTGCTCGCCCCTCGCGGATGCAGCAGCTACAGTTTTACCGTGCATTTTTAAAAATGTGTATATATATTTATTTATTCCGCTTAGAGTTTTCATGGACGTGTGGTCAGTTTGGGCGTGTGTTCATTTTATCCCGGGTCCTGTTTTTTCCCGTGTCGGACACTTTTAAGCACCCAGCCGCTTTTGGAGCAGCAGAATATCCGCATCACGTTATTTGATAAAAGGGACTTCGGGAGCCCTGGGATTAAGTGACATATCTCCCCGCAGCTTCTCTCAACTCTACCGTGACTCCTACAGTCAAAAGTTAACGTTTTTCATCTCGTTTATTCCCTCCCCCCTCTGGAAATCCCGGCCCTGCCACCCGGATCCTGCAGGAACGGGCAGGGGGGGATCCCGGCGGCGGGGGGAGCCCCGGGCCGCGGGGCGGGGGGCACCGGCCCCAGTGCACCCGGGACCTGGGGATTTACACCGCGGGGGAGCGGATGGAGACAGGGTGGGAAAGTCATCTTGCACTCGGAAAATGGAGGTGGTGGGGGGGTCGGAGGCAGTTTCCCCCACAGGGATTTGCGCCCCTGCTTCTCCCCTCTCTTTTGCCGTCGCCGCTGCTGTTGTTTTACAGGGGGCCTCGTCCCTCCTCTTCCTCCGTGAGTGGATTCAGGCCGAGCAGTGGCCGATCTGGCAGTCTCTCATTTAAATGCATGTGCACCCTCGTGTAAGGATATAAGCACATGCGTATATATGTGTGTGTATATATGCACACGCACACACATGCAAGCACGCGCGCACACACGTACGTCTAGATCCCCCCACTCCCTTCTTTCCTCCCTCCTCCCTCCTGTAACGAGCGCCTGATAACGCGTTTAAGGCTTGTTATTTGAACTCTCAGATCAGCATGCAGAAACGTAATTGCATCGTTTTTCATCAGGAAAGAAAAGAAGGAGGAAGGGGGGAAAGCCCCCCCTTCCCCCCCACCTCAGCGCGCTGCAATCGCTGAGTCACCGCCTCGGGGTCACTGGGTAGGCAGGAGCGTCTCCCTGAAAAGCAGCATGCGAAGCGCATCCCCGAATCCCTGCCAGTGGCCGCTGCTCCCTGCCCTCCTCCTTGACCAGGGTGCAGTCACCCAGACTTGGAGCAAAGTGGCCCAAGTGCGGGCAGGGCCCTCCTTGGTCACCCCGTGTCCTGCCACCCGTCACGATGGGACCTGCTTGGTCGTGGCCTGGCAAGAGAATAAAACCCCTAAACTGCCATTTCTGTGGCTGCTG